CCGCCGGCATTGCCAGGCCAACGAACCGCCTCTATTCAATTAACCAATCAAGATTGAGAACGCAACAGAGCCTTATCATTTTTAGGTTTAACTTGGCCTCGTAAAACAAAGCGGTACTTTGAATCAATGTCCTTCCTTGATCGGAATGGGGAAGAGCATTTAGAGTAATTCACTAAACATTTCTTTAGGATTAGAGCCTTAAAAGGAGCAACTATTGAGTTGGGTTTTTTTTCAAGATCTTTGTTCAATCTCATTACTTTTTGGGAGACCCCAAAAAACCCAACCTCAGCAACAATAGCGAATTAAGATTAACACTAGAAAGATTATGTGAAAGTGTCTTTGGCGTATTTTGTTGTTGTTCTGATGTCTGTTCTATGCACTTTATAACAAATGCTAGTTTAAATTGGGATCCAATCTATTATGTCTGTCTCCATTAGAATTGATTTTTTTTATGGGGAGAGAGAGAGAGAGAGAGAGAGAGAGAGAGAGAGAGAGAGAGAGAGAGAGAGAGAGAGAGAGAGAGAGAGAGAGAGAAAGACAGACAGACGGACAGACAGACAGACAGACGGACAGACAGACAGACAGAAACATGAGCTGAGATAGAGTGGTTCAGTTTTGATCCTAAGTTTCATGTTTTGGTGCTCTCTAAGTGTCGCTTCAACTGCACACTTAGTGTTCCCCTGAGATAAGTGCCGCCCCGTGCGATAGAGGGGCAGGGATAAGGAGTATAATATTATGTTAAGTCAAGTTTCCTCTCTCGAAGTACAGGGCATTGAGAGTCTGCTGATTAACAGGAAATAAACCATCTCAAAATTGAGAGGACTATTGTACGTACACTTGTTTGATTGTATTGTACAGTCATGTAAGTGTATCAAAACAGTCATGTAAGTGTATCAAAAACACCGCGGGGATTATGAGATGAGATAGAAAATGATAAAATAATACTTTATTGTCCTTCGCGCAAAAATTTCCTGTGGCTTTAGATTGTACCTTCATAAAAGAATATCAATATTAAGAGAAATAGGAACTGATAATAATTCCGTGTCAGATGCATTTTTCAAAACACGTTTGAATTTATCACAGATATGTATTTCTATATTATTTAACTATGTGCATAGATATGGATTCGACTGCAATACCTATTTTTCCTCATTCCCTCTTCCCTCTTTTTCCTCAACCGCCCTCTCCCTCCCTCCCTCCCCCCAACCTCC